CGATAGGATATAACGTGATGCTATGTTATCTCCAACAATTCACATGCAATGTTATTCGCTGACCTATTAAACTTTATTGCTCCGTTTGATGCACATAATTTTCCGATACATTCTAGCTTGTTTGTTACCGTGCCTTTTGTGATATCAAATTGATTACAAATAAAAACATTACTTGGTTTGTTAAAGCTTATTTTTTTCAGTAATAGTTCTTCCTGAACATATGCAACATACAAATATTAAAAATATCCATAAAAATGATAGTGATGGTGATCTCGTGATGATGTCATGAGCGATAATGTAGAAATGATAATAATAGTTATGATGGTATAAAAAACGAAAATAATGGGGATGATGATGACTACAATGTACAATGGCAATTACATTAATCAGATAGCAATAATGATATTCATGACAAGAATCATAATGATGGCAATAATGACAGGAATGATATTGACAATGATATCACTGATGTGGATGCAAATGATACCAACACATGATAAGGAAAAGCCTGATATCATGATCATTAGAATACTAATGATAATATCAATAATCTTAAGGGTAGTAGTGATAAGGAGAAATCATAAGATAACATCATTTGCGCTAATGATATGATACCATTAATTGCACAATTTCTAATGACATGAACAACAATATAATGAGAACGTCGTGATGGCAATGGCATTAACAACCATGATCACAGCAAAGATAAGACCCTTGCAGATGGAATTGGTAATAACAGTAATGATAACGATAGCAGTGATAATAACAAAAATGAAATAGTAACAATATCGATACTAATGGTGATGGTATTGCTGTTGTTGATTGATGAAATTAATGGTAGAAGTAAAGATAATAAGATAAGATAATGACATCAGTAAAAGCATTAACACCATTAGAAATAATGATCATGATAATGAATATGATAACAATAATGATAATGATCAAAACAAAAATGATAATAGAAATTGTGATGACAATAATGATAATATAGTAATATCAATGACAACAATAATACTGATAATGAAATATTGATAACAGTGATGATGATAATGAGAGCAATAATGATACTGATAAAAATATATTGCTGATAATGATAATGATATTAATGAATAATTAATAGTGATGATGATAATAGACAAGATAATAGTGAAGATATTATTGATTGTCGTAATGCTAATGGTAATAATGACAATGATAGCAATGATGATTAATGATGATGATGAACATGGTGATTGTGATAATAACATCAGTATCAACAATGACGATATTGATGATGGCAGTGGGAGTGATAATGAGGTGGAGGAGGAAGAGAGGGGAGGGGGAGGAGGAAGAGATGGAGTAGGAGGAGGAGGGGGAAGATGAGGAAGAGGAGAAGGAGGAAGATGAAGAGAAGGAGGAAGAGGACAAGGAAGAGGATTAGGAGGATTAGGAAGAGGAGAAGGAAGAGGAAGAGGAGAATTAGGAGTAGAAGGGGGGGAGATAAGGAGTAGGAGTAGGAGGGGGGAGGGAAGAGAAGGAAAAAGAAGAAGACGAAGAACAAAAAAAGGAGTAGGAGGATAGTGAAAATGATAGTGACAATGATCATGACGGTGATGATGGTGATAAGCAGGATAAGGTTTTGATAAGAACAAAAAATAAAGATAAAAATAATGATAATGATTACAACAATAATGGTAATAATAAGGATAATAAGTATAATAACATATAGTAATAATATAATAACAATAATTCTGATGCTAGGGATAATTATAAAAATGATGATAATAACTATAACAATGATAATAAAAAAATTATGCTAATGATAATAACAATAATAATAATAGTAAAGATAACGATAACAAGAATTATAAAAATTAATGATACTAATGATAATGATGATGATGATAATACTAATACTAATGTTAATAACAATAATAATAAAGATAAGAATGATAATAATTATGATAATAATAATGATAATGATGATAATGATAATAATGATAATATGATATAATAATAATAATAATAATAATAATAATAATATAATAATATAATAATAATAATAATAATAATAATAATAATAATAATAATAATAATAATAATAATAATAATAATAATAATAACAATAATGATAATAATAATAATGACGGTAGAAGTAATAACAACAATAATAATGATAAAAATGATTATACTGATAATAATATTAATGATAACAATGATGACAAAAAGGATGATAATAATGACAGCAATAATAATAATGATTATAAAAACAACAACAATAACAATGATAAAAATGATAAAAGAGAATAAAAACTATAATAACAATAATAATCTTTATAATAATGATAATGGTGACAATAATACCGGTAATGATTATGATAAAAATAATAGAAATAGAATGCTATATTAACAAAATGAAAAACATTTATGATAATGATACTTCTACGACTACAACAACTAGTACTAAAAAGATAGTAATAACATTTTTAAAAATAATAATGATAATGACAATAGTAATACTATTCATGATGATAGTAGCAATGATTAGGATAATGACAGTAATAATGATAATGATGATATCAGTAACAATGATTATAAGGATGGGGATGATGATAATGATAATGATGAATATAATTATAATAATGATGATAATGATGATGATATCAATAATAATAACAAAACTAATGATAATGATAATAATAACAATAAACAATAATAATAATAATAATAATGATAATAATAATAATAACAATAATGATAACAATAGTGATAATGATATTGATAATAATGATAACAACAATAACAAATATTATAATGATAACAATACTAACGATAACAAATGATAATAATGATGATGATAAGAGTAATCGCTAAAATGATAAGGCTGATGATAGTAATGATAACAATAATAATGATAATGATAATGGTGATAATAATGACAATAATCATGATTATACTACCACTAATATTGATAATGATAATTTTGATATTAATAAGGACAATGATTATAGCGAAAACAATATTATCAATAGTAATAATAGTATTGATAATAATAATAATGACAATAACGATAATGATAATAATTATGATGATAATGAAAACAGTAATAATAATAATAATTGTTAATAATAAAAATTTTGACAATGATAAAGACAATGATAATATTAATATCAAGAACAACGACAAAAGTAATAATAATAATGATAAAAAATAATAATAAAATAATAATAATAATAATAGAAATCATGATAATAAGGATGATGATGCTAATGATGATGATGATGATGATGATGATGATGATGATGATGATGATGATGATGATGATGATGATGATGATGATGATGATGATGATGATGATGATGATGATGATGATGATGACGACGACGATGATGATGATGATGATGATGATGATGATGATGATGATGACGACGATGATGATGATGATGATGATGATGATGATGATGATGATGATGATGATGATAATAATAACAACAACAACAATAATGATAATAATGATAATGATAATGATAATGATAATGATAACAATAATGATAATGATAATGATAATAATAATAATAATGATAATAATAATAATAATAATAATAATAATAATAATAATAATAATAATAATAATAATAATGTCTGAACAACAGCCATGATGAAAATAATGATGATGATGACTACGATGATAATGATGGTGGTGATCGTAATGGTGTGATGATGATTGAGGTGGTGATGATGACTGTGATGATGATGATGAGGATAATGATGATGGTGGTGGTGATGATGATGCTGAAGATGATGATGGTGGTTGTGGTGGTGATGATGATGTGATGATGGTATTGCATTTCTTTTTAAATAAAAAATTGTTATTTGTCTTCTATGTTATTAGTCCTACTGATTACACTATAGCATCAAAACATCATTATATGTTGCTCATTACCCTCACCATTGTAGGGTAATGATCATTCTTTTTTTAATGATGACTACACTGATGTAAGAATGTTAGGGTATATCTTCTAACAATGAAGATGCAAGTAAATGGAATGGAATGCAAAAAAGGAGAAGAAAAAAATATATATATGTAGGCCTATGCTCTCAGCCCTTCTGCAGTAACTAAAAATACCGCAATTTTCCTCAATCAGACACCTACAACCCCTTCAAAAAAACAACTTGTAGAATAATCTTTTTCTGATAACCTAGCCAGGCGAAGGGTTGTAGACCATGTCCCGCAAGCGCTGTGTGTTATATTTGGTGTTCAGGTATGTGGATACTGTGTGTGATCAAGGCACCTGCCGACAGATGGCTCCACCGCCTGACCACAGGGCGGGATAGCGTATCATGTATTAATACTAGTATCGTTTGACGTCGATCGTTTGCGATGCCGAGTTATTCTTCGTGTGAAATGAGGGGGTTGTTGTGATAGGGTTGTGTTGTTATGGGTTATTACTTTTTTCTATGAGGGAGAGTTGTGTTTTGGGGAAAAATGAGCTTGGGATTTACATGTTGGCACGGTGCCAAGTATGGAAATAGTTATGCACGATGGACCGATGTTTCGAACGGAATGTCCAGAGCTTTTGTTCATGACTCGTGTAGACAGTGCTAAGCCACATGACTGATAGGACGGCGCTGGTCAGCCGCCTTACAAGATGGCGGGTCACTCCGGCCAGGTGGGATGCCGCCTCTCCAGCTGTTGACTTATATGATTTGCTTCCGGGATGCCAGCGGCCCCGGGGGTGTTCCCGCCGAGGTCAGTCGGAATCATTAAGTCTCCTCGCGGGGTGGTGTCAAAATGGCGGCCATAATAAGCCCGTCGGCAGTGATCTGGCGGCGCGTCGTGGCGAGAGGTGTGCTCCTCGTACCTGTTCGGCAGGAAATGGCGGCCGGGAGGTAGCCAATGCCACACGTGCGCCCGCGAGGCCCCGCCGAGCGCCCGGCGGCCAATCAGCCCGAGCAGGTGCCCGTACCTCCGGACGAGCGGGTTGTGCGGGCCTAACGGTGCCTAGTAGCCCTTGGCACTGTGTGAGGGCCCGCCGGGACCTGCACGCGCGGCACCGGCATGGCACATACCACCACCCGCGCGCCCACACCACCCACCGCCCGATAGTGAGTATACCGCATACCCTCACGCCTTTCCTACCACCGGGTGCGGGCATGGGCCTCCCACGCCCACGGAGGGTGTTGGGGTCCGTGCTGTGGCCGGCAGGAGCGGGAGGCACAGTGTGGCTACCCTGGGCACGGCACCCGAGGTGGGGCCGCGGACACTAACGCCACCTGTGCCCCCCCCCCCCCCCTGGCACTGCCCCTCCTTCTGGAACCCCCAAACCCGATTCTGGATAAGTATATCTAGGCATTGGATAAGAGGCAGTGTTCGCGATGCCCTCAGTTCGCACAGCAGGGAAGGGCGATGACGTCCGCGGTTCGCAATGCCTTCGGTGACGTGTAATCAGTGGCCTTATTAGTGTCAGAAATCGCCGAACGAGAAAGCAATAAAGCCCCTTCTGTTTCGCGTTGCTTTGGCTCGTTCGCCGCCCGGGGGCTGGCGCGATGGCACTCGAGCGAATCATCTCCTGCTTGGGTGCTGTTTCATAGGTCAATATGATTTGTATATGTAATGAGGTCAGTGCATCACACATATCACACATCTTTGCGTGGGAATACACACATAAACATACTTCAAACATTATCTGAAGAGTAAGAAGTGAAACGCATCATCAAGGTCACAGGGTCCACACGTACAGAGGCTGTATCCCTCGTAGCACACACACACGTTCTTTCAAATATATCAGACTTGTTTCATCATATTCTAATAATGCATTCAGGTTGTTGTTTTATCAAAATATTCGGTATACTGAATGGCAAAACGCACTGCGGTGTTGATGCACAGGCAGTAGAAATACTACTACTATGCTCAACTTTTGTATACAATGTTCTTTTCTGATATACGTTATCCTGCACAAAATCGCCTTTGCACATTCAGCAACAACCAAAGCGCATACACTGTCCCCAACACACTCTTGTCGCCTCAGGCCTGGCATACTAAACTCTCTGTGTCCATGTTGCTAATCCCAAATATTTCCGCCGCAGGTCCAAGGGTCCAGCGCTTGTCCGCGCCAGTATGCGGCGACACTGAAGGGCTCCTTCCGCGCTGACCTGGCTGGAAGGAGCTGTGACCTGACCTGACCTGCAACCAAAGAGTTAGAAAGTGAGATTATGCTTATTAGCTTCTGAAAGTGCCTTTGCTGCTGAATATAACACGTGTGACAGTGATATGACTGGTAGAGAACAGTAGGTTAACCGTTTCGTCGCGAGCGCCATGTGAGCGAGTCATGGGGCCGATCCGTGCCTTCGTGCGCCCCCCCCACGGAGCCGCCCCGGGGGAGTCGGTCACCACCGCCAGCCTCTTCAGCCCCTCGCACCACCAGAGCTTCTCCGCCCGCCACCGCCCCTTCTCCGCCGCCCACGCCACGTCCCCCTCCCTCGCCTTGCACCACCACCACCACCATCACCACCTCCCGTGCGCCGCCCATGTCAGCCCGTCCTCCCTCGGCGCCCATGACCAGCTCTTCAACCCCCGCGCCTGCGCCTCTCCCGAGCCCCCGCGCGTGGGTCTAGGATCTTCGCTTGGGTCCTCCGAGACGCCGCCGCCTCCTCCTCCTGCGCGGCCGTGCAGCCCTCACCGACACTTTAAGAAGATCCTGCCCCCAGGAGCGGCGGCGGCGCTGCAGCTCCCGCAGCACCCCCGCCTTTCGCTGGCGCGCTCCGACACTGCGCCGGGAGGACCCGTCGGCGCGGGGGGCGCCGGGAGGAACAGCTGCGGCGACGCGTTCGAGAGCAAGCAGCAGCAGCGGAAGCAGAGGCAGCAGCAGGATGACAAGGCCAAGGAGAGGAAGAGCGCCTTTGGCTTCGAGGAGAGTTACAAGGAATGCAAATGGAAAATCTGTGACGAATGGAGGAGGGATGACAAGGATGAGAGTGACTGGAAAAAGGACACTGCAGGAGGCAAGTGGAAGAGAGATTTCGATAAACACAAGTGGAATAAAGCGTACAGTGAAGTTAAATGGAAGAAGGAAAATAGTTACAAGTGGAAAAAGGAGAGACGTGACGTTGGGTGGAAAAAGGACAAAGATGAATATAAGTGGAAAGGAGAGAGGGCCGCGCCGGCCACGTGCGCCACGCCAGAAGCCAAGCCCGACATCACGTCGCCCTCGCAGGTGGCACTCGAATTCCCCTTCTCGGACGAGGACGACGAAGGCGACGACGAGAGCGGCAGCGGAGGCAGGCGCGGCGACGGCAGCAGGCACGAGGCGTGGCCCATCTCGGACATCGTGGAGACGGAGGACGAGGAGGGGGAGGTCGGCGCGCGGAGCAGCGACGCGTACGAGCAAGCAGCGTGGGAGAAAGAGGGCGAGAAGGCCGGCCCGGGAGCGGGCAAGGAGGGCGAAGGAGAGGCCGGGCTGGGCAACGCTAGTCCAGAGAATCCCAATCTAGTCATCCGCGCGGCGGTCGCCCCAGAACACGCTCACACCAGAGTACCTGAACACACGGCCAGTGTTAGCAGAGCTTCCCATGCAAGTGAAAATCCGTTCTGCAAGCGCCCTAGCTTGTTGCAAGAAGAAGATGAGTACTCGAGGGTGCGCGAGAGCCAAGAGACCTCGGGCCACGACAGGAGCGACGGGGAAGAGGACCTCGACGCCGACAGGAAGGACGACGAGGGCGACGTCCCCCGCGACGGCGTGAGGGCGACGCAGCGCCTCCGTCCTCGCAGCTACAGGTAAGTCCTCGAATGGTTTGTAAACACGGTCTCGTTGCTTCCTTAAGAAATAAGGGCGTTGGAAGTCTTTCTCCAATATTACACAAATGTTATACAGGAAAAAAAATTAAGAATAAAAAAAACTTCTAGAATAAAACAGTATAAATTTCATATCTGCAATTTGACGACTCAGAGGGCACAAGAACTGCATTAAGGGTATTTCAGATATTTCGTAGATATAAACTTGCACCCAATTGCGGTTAAAAGAGCTAAGACACACAATGGTAGATCAAATATATGCATATCTATAATTGTACATATAATTATTCGGAGAGTTGAAACGGTTTACCTATAACGCTTTTAAAAGAAGAAAAAGTAAGAATATATGCACAAATTAGTATGCACACTCAAGTAATTTCACTAAAACACGAAGCATAAAAGTAAAAAAAAAAAAAAAAAAAAAAATCTGTGTACGCCCGTAGTGTATGTTTCATATGTGTATTTGTGTGTGTGTACGTGTGTGTATGTATGCTTATATATATATTCCCTTTTTCTTCCATCTCTCCGCGAATATCTAAAGAGTTCCATATTTAGCATTTAAAAAAAGCCAGACAAAAAGAAAAGGAAAATAAGTGACACGTTTCTCTTCGTTTCAGACTGAACCCCGGTTCACTGCCAGAATTTATATCATGAATGAACCGGCGGTGCATGTTTTGCATTTAAGTCGCTGTTTTAAACTTTATTTTTAAACTTAAGCTTAAACTTAGAGAGAGTCAGATTGCAGATATGTTGGCTTCTTTGCCGAAAATTCCTCCTTGAAAGACTCGGGGGGGGGGGGGAGAATTATGTAAGCAACGACGCCAATATTACAGAGCGAGATTGTCTGATAATATGTATCATCTCCACACTCCGCATTCATTCTTCTATGACCCGCGCAAGATGGCCTGAATTATAACCATTATTTAAGCGATTATATTCTTAGTTCTTTGGCTCGCTTCGAATTTCTCCCGCGGTGTTATTACCCGAGGCACACGAGCTGTCGCGGTGAAAATAACCCCTCGTGTATATTTTGGGTCGGATCAATTGATGTGTGATTTCCTCCTTATTAATATTAGTTTAGATACACGTCTCTCCTTTTTGTTGATATGATTATTTAGATAAGCATCTCGGGCGGATTAATAATATTGCGGGAGAGTTGAATTAAACCAATAAACAGATCAGTTACGAATAAGCAACGTTTTAGCCAGTGAACGAGGCCAGTGCTTGTGAACGCAGCCGGCCCGACCTTGTGAACGCGCGCCAAAATGTCGAGATGGTTTCTGTAATTTTATGTTGCAGAGTAATTAGAGTTTAATCGGTAGAAAATAAGGGCGTTTTATCCTATATTATCATTTTATTGTTTTTAGTTTTATTATTATTAGAATCATTATGATCATTATCATTATCATGGTCGTAATCATCGTCATTATCACCTTATCATCTTAGTAGTCGTCATAATCTTTGTTATCATTATTGTATTGTTTTTAATTACTATCGTGATCATCATTATCATAATTATAATAATCACCATCATTATCCTCTTCCTCATCATCATTACCGTTATCATCACCTTTATCATTATCAACATTATTATAATCACAACTATCTTTATCATTATCAACATTGTTGTTGTTTTTATTATGATTACTTTTCTTTTGACAATGATAAAAATGATGATGATGATGATACTAACAGTGATGATAATAACAACGATAATGATAAAAATAATGATAATAATAATAATAATGATAATAATAATGATAATAATAATTATAATAATACTGACAATGATAATAATAATTATAATAATACTGACAATGATAATGATAATGATAATGAAAATGATGATAATGATAATGATGATAATTAAAAAACAATAACAATAATGATGACTAATAATGATAATAATAATAATAGCTTAATTAAAGGTCGATCGAACAGTAGTTTGTCTGACCTTCAAAACGAGCTGCAAAAGAGAACAACAAATCCATTTTTCTTTTTTGCTCTTATCATTGCAATTAATATCAAAACTGCTTTTTCATTCCCATGTATAAATTTTTGTTACTATATCTGCGGTGATTATCATGATCATTATAAGTATTATCATTAAAGTTGTAATGATTATCATTATCATTATCATGATTATCATTATTGTTATCATTATCATCGCTATCATCATCATCATTATTATCGTTATTATCATTACTGTTTTATTATCATGATTATTATTATTATTACTATCATTATTATTATTATTACTATTATCATTACTATTTTCAATAATATTATTACCGCTACTACTAATATTAGTATTATTATCATAATCAAGTTTGCCTTTTTTATTATCATTACTTATAGCATTTTCATCATTATTAATATAGTGATTAATAATGTCTTTATCATTATCATTATTAGTATTTGTATCATTATTAGTATTATCATAATCATTATTACTATTATTGTTTTTTTTTTTGTAATCTATATATTAATGCAAATGCTAATAATGATGATGGTAAGGATAATAATGATAATGATGATGACAGTAGTGATCATGTTTATTATTATTATTACTAGTGTTATCATCTTCATACTCATTATCATCACTATGATTATTGCCATTATTATCATTATTATTGTTAGTTTTATTATTATTGTTGTCACTATTAATGTTGTTATTTTTACTATTATTCTAATGATTAACATTTTCATTATCCTTATTTTTTTGTTATCGTTACTTTTAATGTTATTTTAATTTTTCTTTTTCGTCATCGTTATCGTTTTCGTATATATTATTATTGTTATTATTATCATTATTATTATTGTTACTACTACTTCTACTAGTATTATTATTATCATTAGTATCATTGTTACTGTTATCATATCATTGTTATTATCATTATTGTTGCCATCATCATTATTATTGTCGTTAATCCGTCATTACCTTTATTAGCATATATATTTTTTTCTTTTTCAATATCTATATTAACTATCTTTATCACACTGATGATTATTCACATGATCACCGTTATTTACATTGATGAGGTCATCACAATTGATAGTTTCATAATTATCATCACTGTAACTGTTATCAGAAATTTCATTATTGCTATCATTGTTTTATTACTATTATCATCACTCTGGTTCTAATTAACTAACACTCATTAGTATTATAATTGAATTAGTATTGTTGTTATCAGTATCATTATGATCAGCATCATCAACACTCATTATCATCATTATTGACAGCATTATTACTACTGCTGCCAGCTGGATGACGATCATTAATATCCATATCACTATTGCTATTGAATCAGTATCATTACCTCTACCATGACTTCATTATCCCTCCTACAGACAGTTCCTGTAGACAGTCATTACTACTACCATAGCTTCATTTTCTCCTCCTCCTTCCCTCCTACAGGCAGTTCCTCCTGACGAGAGAGCGAAGGAGCCGCGAGTTCCTGAAAGCGCGCAGTTACCACCTTGGCAGATGGTTCGTGACCCACTTCACTCACCCGTACCCGTCGAAGGAACAGAAGGACCAGCTGGCGAGCCGCACCAACATGACGAGGAACCAGGTAAGAGTGTTGTGTGGGACGTGTGTGTTCGTGAGTTCGTGGTGGTCGTGTTGTTGGGTAGTATTCTGTGTACTGGTTGGTTTGTTTGGTTGTTAGTGTACGTGGTGGTAGTTATGTTGGGTAGTGTTCTATGTACTGGTTGGCTTGTTTGGTAGTTAGTGTGTGTTGGTAGCGTTGTGTAGTTATTTTAAGGACTAGTGGTTTTGTAGGATGTGTGTTTGGTAGTTAGTACAAGTGATGGTAGTGTTAGATATTTATTGTAAGTACTGGATACTGTGTTAGTGATGGTAGTGTTGTGTAGTTAGATTTTTAAGACCTGGTTGTTTTGTAGGAAGTGTGTTCGGTAGTTAGTACAAGTGATGGTAGTGTTAGATCTTTATTATAAGTACTGATTGTTGCGCATTGATGGTAGTGTTGGAAAGTCATTTTTATTAAGTACAGGGTTAATTTGTTGGAGGCTGTGTGTTCGGTAGTCAGTGTAAAGGATGGTAGTGTTGCTGGGTAGTTATTTTAAGATTTTAAGTACTGTTGGCTTGCTGGAGGATGTGTGGTTGGTTGTTTATCCTTGTGAATGGTTGTGGCGTATGGTGTTTGTTTGTTAGTTATGCAAGTGACGATTGTAGTGTTCGGGTGTTATAAGGGGGGCTTGTCGCGTATGACGTGTCTGGTATGTGATGGAAGTGAATATTTTAATGTTTTATGATATGCATTCGGCATAGATTCCAGTAACAGCTGTCGTGTAGGGTATGTGTGCGTGAGGATTAAAAGCCTTTTGATAATATTTCATATCAAGTTTCCCAATTTGCCTTTATGATCACAATAGAGCAGTATCAAAGGTAGAAAAATCGAATAATCAGAAAAAAAATATACATATCAAACCTTAATCACTAACAAATCAAATTCTATCATCAAAGACAACTAAAGAAATAACAGCCTTTTTCTACGAGGAGCTGTGTGTCATAGGTCAGAGTGCAAAGGTCAGTTCACGGGCTCCGTTTGTGGCGGCGAGACGTGTCATTCGAAACCCTGAATTGCGATGAAAGAGTGAATTTATGTGTCACGGACTTGGACACTTGCCACAGCGCAATGGCAAAGCGGGTGTGTGTTCTGGTGTTCACAGTCTGAATTCACTAATGTGTAAAAAAAGATAGAATGTTAATGTTGTGTCTCTGCGTAGAAATACGTTCATGTTTTTTTTTTCTTATATTTTATTCTTATTTTTATGTATATTGTACGTATATGGAAGGAAAACGTGTTCTTTAACATATGTATGATTTATGTACTATACATGCATGTAGATGACGGTATATGTAGTCATTATCTCTCTCTCCCTCTCTGTTATTAGGTTTCCTCTCTGTCTCCTTCTCTGTCTTCCTTTCTCCCCGGCCCCTCTTTTTCTCCTTTCGTTTACTCTTCTGTCACACCCTCTCCCTATCCATTTCCCCTGTCTTCTTTTCGCCCCTCTCTCTCTTTCTCCTGCCGTTTACCATTTTTGTCACACCCTCAACTGTCTCTCTCTCTCTCTCTCTCTCCTCTCTCTCTCTCTCTCTCTCTCTCTTCTCTCTCTCTCTCTCTCTCTCTCTCTCTCTCTCTCTCTCTCTCTCTCTCTCTCTCTCTCTCTCTCTCTCTCTCTCTCTCTCTCTCTCTCTCTCTCTCTCTCTCTCTCTCTCTCTCTCTCTCTATCTATCTATCTATCTATCTATCTATCTACCTACCTACCTACCTATTTCTATATAATCATTTACCTCTTATTTTGTGCACGTGTGTGTATGCGCGCACGTCACACCCACATAAATTGTTTCCATAACAAAAGCAACAATCAAAACATTTGCAAGCATCACCACGTAATTTTTTTTTCTCAAGTCTTGGCTCGCGGGGTCTTCCAAGCCATTCATTGAAGGAACAGAAAGAAATTCTCAGTCTTTGCGCTTCATTTTCCCGGCCGCTTCCCCCAGTGGCTCACGTGATACTGCACACCCTGGAGGGGCGGGGGAGGAGGAGGAGGAGGAGGAGGGGCGAAGAGGAGGGGGAGGGTAAAGAGAGAGGAGAAGGGGGGATGGGGATGGGGAAAGGAGATGAAGGGTAGGAAAGGAAGGGTGGAGGATAAAGAGAGAGGAGAAGGAGGGATGGGGATGGGGAAAGGAGATGAAGGGTAGGAAAGGAAGGGTGGAGGATAAAGAGGAGAGGGAGAGAAGGGGAAAGGAGGTGAAGGGTAGGAAAGGAAGGGTGGAGGATAAAGAGGGAGAAGGAGGGAAAGGGAAAGGAGGAAGGTAGGAAGGAAGGGTGGGGGATGATGGGGAATAGGAAAGGGAAGGGAGGAAGGAGGGAAAAGGAAGGAGAACGAGGAAGAGTGGGACGGGGAGAATGTAGAGGGTGGAGGGGCAAGGGTGAGGGAGTGGGGTATGCAGGAAGGGTAAGAGAAAAAAGGAAAGGAACAAGGAAGAGAAGAGAAAGAAGAGACAGAGGATGGAAAGGGAAAGAATGAAAGGAAAAAGAAGAGCGAGGAAGAGAAACGTCAAATAAAATCATAAGAAAAAAACAGCGACAAAATAATAATGAAACGCCGATAAAACACCACACGTGGGTTTAAAAACAACAACTCATCCTGACTCTGATACGAAATTAGAATCACCAACAAAGATTCCTACAACGAAACCTCCAGCTGCCGTCCATGCACTAAAATCTGCTCTATATTGTTTGCCTAACTGAGAAGTCCATCGCCTTGCTCACTTTATCTGTTTATGTCTGAGCAGTAGGAAAAGAGTTCATATAACCGTGTATATAAGAAACGCAAGGTCACATGACAAAATTGTTTACATAGACTCTATGTGTCACACCCAACTTGTTTACATCTAGTGTTGGTCGACAGACACACGCTCGTGCATCAGAAGGGCGGAATAATTTGAAACAGATAGAGCGAGCGAACGAGTGAGAGAGAGAGAGGAAGGGAGGGAGGGAGGGAGGGAGGGGGAGGGGGGGGGGAGGGAGGGAGGGAGAGAAAGAGAGAGAGAGGGAGGGAGGGGGAGGGAGGGAGGGAGAGGGAGGGGGAGGGGGAGAAGAGAGAGAGAGAGAGAGAGAGAGAGAGAGAGAGAGAGAGAGAGAGAGAGAGAGAGAGAGAGAGAGAGAGAGAGAGAAGAGAGAGATAAATAGATAGATAAATAGAGAGATAGCTATAGAGACGGGAGAGGGAAAGAGAAGGAGAGAAAAAAACAAGAAAAACACAGACAGACAAACCGACCCCCCCCAAAAAAAAAAAAAAAAAAACACAAAAACAAACAAACAAACATACCCTCAACACAAACAAAACAAACACCCGACGCGATAGCTTCTCCAAAGCCACCTTATCGACACTCGATGTTCCACCGCAAAGACGCACACAAATAAAACAAAAACTGTCCCACTCTCTGCCAGTCGTTTGTTACGTAAAAGCATTTTCCTCGCATGATCTCAGTCTCAGCTGAGGGCGCGAGAGGGGAAGCCGCGGGCGAGGGGACCGTCTGCCCGGTTCATAATTATTGCCCCGGGATGGAATTTATGCGACCGCTCTTAATTTGTTTGTCTTGGGCGTTTTTTTTATATGTTCGGGTTTGTGGATTTATATATGCAGTTTGTTTATTCTTGGTATAATGCTTGAGTGGATTTCGGGAAAGT